AACTTTTTATGTTTTGGTGGACAGGGGACTGAATCCAGCCCTTTTTATTTTTAATTTTGAGATAGTGTCTTGTTCAATTATTCAGGTTGGACTCAAAGTTGCTACCAGCTTTAGTCTCTCAGAGTTCTGGGTCTACAGCCATATTAACTTTTTTTTTTTTTTTTTTGAGACAGAGTCTGCTATGTAGAGTGGTCTTGAACTCCCTCTGTGCCCAAGGCTACGGTGGAATTCACAATCCTATTTTGGCTTCTTGAGTGCAGGAATTACAGGTGTATGCCGCCATATCCAGCTTAGGTATTAACTTTGTAGCTCTGGATTCTTATGTTGCAGAGAATAAGACTGTAATAAGTGGTTGGGGAGATAGCGCAATAGAATAAGTGCTTGCCTGGCAAGCACAAGATCCTGAGTTCAATCCCCAGTTCTGGAAAAAAAAAAAAAGACTCTAATAAAACATTTAGCAAGTGAGATCTTTTCATTTCTTTCAGTAGGAAGTTTACAGGCAGAATGGAATTTGCTAAAACTGTACCTCTGTACTCTCTGAATGTACATCTGAATACGCAGATAGGTGAGCAAAGTCTAGATTGCATTTGGACATGACAATAATCTTTTATGTGTTCTGAGATTTCATCAAAAACCTTCATATAAATCAAAAGACAATTTGGAACCCTATCTTTTCAAATCAAAGCTCTTAAGAATTAGGAAGGACACTTTTTTATTACCATGACTGCTGTAGAAAGCAAGATTTGATTGATACCTGACAGAATCAGCTCTACAAATATGTTAGCAAAATTTCTTTTTAATTTCCCCACACAACATTTTAGTAGCATCCTCTGAATCAGGAAACACGACTTTATTCTATTTCCATAAAACAATCAAGGGAATGATATGATAATGCTGCTCATTTGTGTGGTCCACCCAAACCGCATATTGGTACTGTTTTTGACTGAATATTGGTGCTTTGAACATGAAAACACTTTCGATTGATTTGAAAGTACTTGACTATCTTATCCTAGACTTGTGAGATTCAGTTTCCATATGTGTTTTCACATCCCCCTTTGTGTGTGTGTGTGTGTGTGTGGCCAGCTCAGCCCACCCCGGGGGTGGGGCTGGTGCAGCATGTGGTGCTGGGGATCAAACCAGGTCCCTGCACGCTTTGCCTAAGCTTGCCTAAGCAGGCACTTTAGACCGCTGAGCTGTCTCGCCAGCCTTTCACATCCCCTTATCTGCTGTACCCAAGCCCAAATTTCTTTCTTGCATATTGTACAGTAGGCTCTGTCTGGGTTATTGCTTGTATCACTTCCCTAACCTAGTTGTCACTAGGGAACTTCCATCTGTCATGAAGATAACATAACCAGTTATCTTTCTTTCTTTTCTTTTCTTTTTTTTTTTTTTTTTTTTTTTTTTTTTTTTTTTTTTTTCTGTAGGGGGAAGCAGAGATCAAACTCAGGGCCAAATTCACTTGCCAAGCAGGCACTGTGCCACTCAGCTATATCCTCAGCAAGTTTTTATTTTTTGAAACAGGGTTCCTTCTATGTAGTTCAGGCTGGCTTTGAGCTCACTATGTAGCCCAAGCTGGCCTTGAACCTGTGGTGTGTGGGCTTTACAGGTGTGCGCCACCCCTAAGCCAGATTCATTATCATTTTCATTATTTGAATTCTTAGAACACATTGATACAATGATTCAGAAAGCTATCAATTAAACTAACGATATCTATCTCCATACGAAGTGCTACAGCTCACAGGATGGTTAATACTTGAGAATAGAACTCAAATTACGTACTTCCGAATTTAAGTTTCTGTGAAAGAAGTTAACAGTGGAAGACCTGTGATTATGAACCACCAGTCACAGACACCAACTCACCATTCAGTGGAGGCAGGTGATTGTCATATTATTTACACTAGGAACTATATCATCTTCAGCCTCTTTTGTGTGGCCACTGAATGGTTTCATAGTTCCCCCTCCTCCAATCTTGTACACTCATTGCTGGAAACCAGGACTTTTTTGCACTTAGGGGTTTTCTGGAGTATGGGTCTGTCCAGGATGGGCCCAGCACATCTGGAAAGGTTGCCCACCAAAAATAGACCTTTACTTGGCCCTTTTCACAGGAGAGAACTTATTTACTATTTTTAGATCTGCTTTTTTTTACTATAACAAGCTATATAGAGCTCATCTCCTCCTCCTCCTCCTCCTCCTCCTCCTCCGGAACCGGGGATTGAACTCAGGCCCTTGTGCTTGCCAGGCAAGTGCTTATTGTACTGACCCATCTCCCTGGCCCCAGGAACTGTTCTGAGACTAGCAAGTAAATCAAGGTTAACTGTTCCCAAAGCTTTTACTGCATTCATTGCCCTTTGCTATTTCTATCAGCTCCACTGTACTCACAAAAGAGAACCATTTTCGTTAATTCTCTACCATATTTCCAAAAGACTAAGAAGGACAAATCAAGCATGTATTTTATTAAAAGAGCTCACTCATGTTTAATAAGTATTTGAGAATCATGTTAAGGACATTAAAGGTTAAAAGAAATAGGGAAAGAGGAGATGCAAAGAGAAAGAAAAGCTAATGACTGTTTTCTATAGTCAACAGCTTACTAGAAGTTTTAGTCAAGACTTGTTTAATGCTAAGAGCTGATAAACTAATGGTAGTCATCAACACACATTAAAAAGTTTCATGAAGAACTGCTTGAGAATTGGGGATTCTGCTTGAAATTGGTTGGAGGTAGGGCAATGCTTGCCTGGCATTTACAGGGTCCTAATTAGGCACCACATGCACAACCAACCAACCAAACAAACAAAAAACACAACTGCCGGTTGGGGCTGGCGGGGTGTAGCCTTTTAGCATGAAGGGGGTTTCTGAATTCCATTCCCAGCACACAAAAAAGAAAAAAAAAAAAAGCCTTACTAGATTCCTCTGCACTTAAACATTAAACAGTCACCATGAACCTTTAATCCTGAGTGATAAGGATACTATCTATTTAAAAATAGAGGGCTGGTGAGATGGCTCAGTGGTCTAAAGCACCTACTTAGAACGAGCTTAGCAAAGCAAAGGGACCTAGGTTCAATCCCCCAGCACCACATGCCAGCCAGCCCCGCCCCCTGGTGGGCTGAGCTGGCCACACACACACACACACAAATAAATAAAAATTTAAAAAATAATAATAATTTAAAAATAGACCGCGAAGCTGGGGATGTAGTTCAGTGGTAGTGAACTTGCCTGCCAGACTTGAGGCCGTGACTTCAATCTTCAGTACCATTAATGCATGCATACATAACTGGCTATGGATTGTATTATATGGTTTTATCTATTAATCAGCCAGCGCCCCCACAACTCAAAGCTCCTTTACAGATTCCATATATTGAAGGAATATATGGAATCACCGCAGCCTAACCACCCCAGCCTAACCACCCCAGCCAACTGACAGATTTGTCTCCATACACACGCAAGTAAAATGAACATACCCGCCTTTCTAAACGACGAGTTTCTCCGTAGTGAATAGGGAGGGGCTCTGCCCTGAGACATCATCCTAGATCTATCTCAAGTGTTCTTCTGGGTGCGCACACTAGTGTCCAAGCCGTAGAATCATCGCTCTGGGGTGATCGCCTTAGGTTCCCCACTTTCTCCCAGACAGGGACTTGCCCCGGGGTCCGTAAGGAGGAGCCGGTTCGCACATCCCGGACAGCAGCAGCAGCAGCGGCCGCGCCTCCCCGCAACCCGGCCGGGGCTGGCGACAGTTCGGCGTCTCAGACCTCCTGCAGCGCCTGCACTTCCTCCGGAGGCGCCTTCTCCCGAGCAGGCTCAGACTCGCGGATACGGGACATCACAGACGCGGGACCCGGAACGACCGTTTCCGTAAGAAGGGCGTTGTGGCCTCCAGTCCCTCGCATAGCTAAGACATCAGCTATATGTCTGATCTTCTTCCTGTTTCCAAAGGGTCATTTCCCGAAAACCCAGGATATTCCCCTAAACAGTGGTTTCACCAGACAACTTTCCCCGGGATGGCATACTCCACAAAACCTGGAGATTTTTTTGGTTGTCACACCCGGGGGAGCCGCTTTGTTTCTAGTGGTTAGAAGACAGGGGTGCAGATAAACATCCTGCAATGTACAGGACAGTTGCCATGAACAGAATCATCTAGTCCCAAAAGTTAAGGGTGCAGAGGCTGAGAAACCCCCCGCAAAGACAAACGGCAAAGAAAGACCAAGTCCCACAAGAGGGTCACCAAGTGACCCAGAACCAAGTCCCCCAGAGTCTGGGCCCCCTGTATCCCCTTAACGCCAAACTGGGAAGTCCCTGCTGCGGGCCGAGCCGTTCTCTGGTGTGGAGGTGCAGCTGCAGTGCTCCTAGGGGAAAAAAAAAAAGGTACTTAAAAACTGAGTACGCAGTGCTGCGAATGTGGCCACTCTGTACACCGCAGGACCAGATTTTTTTTTTTTTTTTTTTTTTTTTGTGGAACCAGGGATTGAACTCAGTTCCTTGCGCTTGCCAGGGAAGCGCGTATTTCACTAAGCCTACTCCCCGGCCCCTGTTTTGTTTTGTTTTGCAACACTGTCCAACTATGTAGCTCAGGCTGGCCTTGGTTTCACTTTGCAGCCCAGACTGGTCTCCAATTTGCAATGATCCTCCTGCCTCAGCCTTCCGAGTGCTGGGATACAGAGCGTGCACTGTCAAGTCCGGCAGGACCAGATGGTTTACCTGCCACTCACAGCTGAGATAGCCACAGATCGACACTAGAAAATTGCCAGCCTCACCTAAAAGATGGACACTGAGGCTAGAGGGATCCTTCTCTTTGAGAGTTTAGGTAAAAAAGGACTCCACACGCCAGCCCTTAAAAGGCTGCCTACTACCACTGCCCACCTCCAGAGGCTAGCAGCGGTGGGAAACACCGGAGCGCCACCGGGCCTGCGCAGACTGGCCGGCGCGGTGGGCGTGACTCGCCTCTGCCCCGCCCTTCTCTTCCCCATGCCCCGCCCCTTCCTGGTCTCCGCATGCGCAACTGGCCGGGGGCGGAGCTGCTACATCCGGGTCTGGCGGCTTGTGGTCGTTTTGTTTTCTTGACTGGGACTAGGGGCGAGTGAAGCAGCCCGGTGCGGCGTGACACCCGGCTCCGGACGTACTGCTCGGCCAGGGCTGGACGTAAGTGCCGGGTGGCTAAGAGTAGTAGGGAGCAGCTCCAGGCTGGACCAGGTGCAGACCCAGGCTGACGCCTGTGGGTCTTCCCCTCCACCCTGTGGGAAGCTGCTGACTGGGGCTGCGCCTCGCTGGAGCAGCCCGGCCACTTCCTGCTGCCCTGACCCGGCGGCTGGGAGAGCGCGACCGCGTCCAGCCTCACCACGCGCGGGCCTGGGGGATGGGAGGCTAGGGCGGGGACCGCAGCCCTGCCCGGGACATCGGTGTCCCTAAAAGTCATCTGGTCCCTCTGCTTGGGAGCCGGACACAGATCCCGAGAGCGAGCGCGACCGGCTGATTGACACACGAGAGAGGTGGCAGAACTAGAATTAGTTTCTAGATCTTCAAGTCTCAGCCCACTCCCTGGACCTGAAATACTCCCCAATCTGGAGGGCGGAGTTTGCGCTGGAGTGTGGCAGTAATCATGCGAAGAAAAATGGATTCAGGGCGGGGTCGATGGGGTAAACCGAAAATAAAAACATCACGCGTGGCTGTGCTTCTCAGGGAAGAACGAAATGAGTGAATTTTCAGAATTGAACTCGTCCTACGGGCGTATCAGCCCTGATTATAATCATAGCTTTTGATATTTACTGTTCAAAACGGAAGGTAAAAACTTGAAGTCGTTGCACTTTTAGGGTGCAGTGGTTTGGGCTGGTCCTCGTTGCTGGCTACAGAGTAGCTGCGGGAGTTTGGGTTTGTCTTGACTATTATTAGCAAGTTACACGGAATTCAGGTTTTTTCACACTCTGAAGATACTATGTATATGTCTCAGGCCAGTTCTGCACAACTGAGCTTATAGGAGTGTTTTGTGTAATTTGTTAAAGACAATTTTAGGCCAGTTATGACAACTTAAATAGCAATGAATTATTTAATCTTGGTTGACACTTTTGAGGAGACAGTAAAATAAAATGAATGTTTTTATAGAAATGATGCAAAGGTAGACTTGAAGAAGGAAAAACTGATGAGATGGAAAGAAATGATGTGGGTATAGTTAAAACCTCCAGGGCAGTGTCCTTAATCTGGGTGGGGAGAAACACAGGTTCTATGAAAAAAAAAATGTGTAAGTTCCCAAGAGAAGTGTTTTTTCAGCTGTGCTGTAACTCAGCCAAGGGTTGACTATATTAGTCAATAATATAGTCCTTCCTGACTATATTAGTGCTCTGGAGCCATCATATAAAATTAATTATACTCATTATTTAAGGGTTACTTAAATTAATTTGGTAATATATTTGAAAATAATTAGAATCTGAGAATTTTTAGGATGTCAACCAATAGTTAAAATTTTTAATATTCAGATAGCTGCCTTTATTCGTATTACTTAAATATACTTTTGTTCATACTACTTAAATGTACAAAACTATCTTTTATCATTATTGTTACTTTGTTTGTTGAGACAGGGTTCCACTGTGCAGTTCAGGCTGGCCTTGAAATCACTTTGTAGTCCAGACCGGCTCTCAAATGAATAGTGGTCCTGCCTCAGCCTCTTGAGTGCTGGGATTACAGGTGTACACCACCACATAACCATCTTTTAACTTCAAAAAAAAAAAAAAAAGCTGAAACAGTGTCTGGCATGGCTGTGTGTGTCAATCCCAGGAGGATCACTGCTAGCAACCTAGGCTACTTAGTGATTT